TCAATTACAGGCTTATTTATATTAACATTTGCTAAATGGAAAAACACGTAAGCATTAATTATTGTAAAATGTAGTGGGGTAAACGGCTCAAGGTCATTTTTGTGAACGTAACACAAATGAAAGTATGTATTATACAATATCTTTTAGTGCCACATAATTAGGGAAGTTAAGATATATATAATAGGTACATATTAATATGAAGTACCAAAATCTGTCGAGTAAGAATTTTAACTACGAATTTTTGATAAAGACCATAAAAGATAATCTATGCACTATTTTCGAAAATGCCTTTCTTTCAGCTTACTTTTTAACATTGAAATATAAAAATACACATTATCTTGCGAAAACATTTTTTAAAGAATCAACTTATAATTAATAAATACAACCTTGAACTTAATTTGTATCACACAAAATTAACATGAAATCGAATCGTATCAGAAATGTATACAAAAATTGATCATGCCACGTATTATTTTACAAATGTATGTCGCTTAAACGCAAAATGGTAACGTTTATTTAAGTTCTTTCAAAGCACAACAGTACCGCGAACTGTGTATCTCCTGAATAATTCTGCAATTTATAATCATTAGCGTTTTTCGAACACCGAGAAGACTGAGAACGTCTGCTACGGGGTGCGGAGGGGCCGCGGCGAGAAGGGTGCAAGTTAAATTGAGTCATCTCAACGCGTGATTGATTGAGATCATGATTGGCGTTTTCCTACTATCAACTGTATATATGCAAACTTCGTGTTTTTTGCAACACGTCCATAATGTTAAGGCGCTCTTTTTGACTGTTGAATGCGAAATTTCATTACACGTCAATGCTCCCTGTGAGAATCATACGATGTGTCTCATATGACAGCCCTTCACTCGTTGGCGTTGCGATGCCGATCGAAAGGCGCGCGGCAGGAACCGTGAACACGAACACCGACCGTTATAATCCCTCATCAAGCATAACATGTTGAGTGTAAAAGGCATCATTAACGACTGCCTTAAAAAGGCGAACCGGAGCAATCATTAAAATCGTAAAATATTGCAAAAAGAAAATAATACAACGACGCGGCTCGTTACTCGAGTTTCCGTTGCTACGAAAGTGAGCACAGCGATGTCAGTTCATCGATAAGAAATAGAGCAAAAAGTTCTCTCAATGAGGAGCGCTGTGGACACGCGAGATACGGTTTAATCGCGCCAGAGAATAAAAAGATAAACGGAAGTTTATTACCGGCGCTTAAAAGGTATTAAATACCATTCGTATGTAAATTACTTATTGCAAATAGATACCAATCTACTGCATGACTCTACCTATCTATGTTAGTTCTTCATAAATAAATACGAAATGTATTTAAAATTCAGACTTAACCTTATAAAGAAATATTATCTTAATTAATCGCGATCTTTTTCGAAAAGTGATAATATTAACTGATCTAAGAATCAGTTATTTTAATATTGATCACGTGTATGCTAAAACTAACGACGTGTATGCAAAGCGATTGCACCCTTCAAGCGACCTGGGATATACGTAACTTCAAACACGATGCCTTTACTAGAAGGATGATTAATTGCCGCAATACTCTGTGATTGATCGATATCCTTTCGCAGCGTTACGCATAAAAACTATTTAAAAACAATCTTTTCAACTCCGTCCGGGCGTCTTCGGAGTATCGTTTTAAAACTCTATTTATCATTACTATTGAAATGTAAATGGCGTATGTTTTAGCGTGGCGTGTGAAAGGAGCTGAGGACGTGGCGCTGCATCGATTGTATTCGGCACACGGGTCGGCTTAATTAGGTGCAAAGTCTCGTATACGGGCTGCGCCGCGAATTCGGGTGGAATCTGTCGGCCGATGATATCGGCGGTCGGCGGCAAAGCCCCGCCGAAACAGGGCGGTGCCGCCTGTAATTACAATCTCGCCACGCACGCTCCGTGCGCTCAAATCTCTCTTTTTACCAAAAATTTTCTTATGCCCCCTAACCGCTTTTCGACACGCAAAACGCATTCGGTTCGCGTGTGAATTTTAAACCGTCAGCCACGGTGGATAACTAATGAACGTAATTGACATTGAAGACGCGAAATTTTATTATTATTTAAAACAAATATCGTCAAGGAAAACAATCACGTACTTATAGATTTTATACCAAAAAAATATGTATATCAAAAAAATCCTGGTGATCGTAATGAAAATGGTACTTTACGGATAAAATTGCGAAGAATGTCCTAATACCGAAATACCGAGTGGTGTACACAGAGGGACGAGACCTAGTTTCAGATTGAATCTGTGATAATGTAATGCATTAGCTACTTAAATTTTAATAAGCATGCGAGCTCGGGCGTGCGTTAATATTATTTTACAAAACGGAAAAAGGAAAAATTAAGGTTGCTCGTTAAGGAAACACGATGTTTGCCGCATTGAAATTATTTTATCATAATGCGGCGGGGTCATTGTTTAAGGGAGCGATATTATCCGAGCGGAGGCCCGGACTCCCGGGGCGGTCATTGTGTTCCTATATGGCGAATGTCAAAAGCGTCGTCTTAATTATCGGGCGCGGCCATACAATGCGTACTCGATTGCGGCGAGATAAGCGCCGTGCATCTATCCGAGTCTTTATTGAATGCGCGTCCAGACCCGCGGCCCACGGGTGCCTTAATAATAACTTCAAACGTATGTCGCATTGTATCTCTGATTATTCCGATCTAAGTCCATTGAATCGAGATAGCGCCGCTGGAATACGTACCGCGTTTGAAGAAAAACGATGCAAATATTCAATTATTGCGGAATATCTTGTGATGCATATTGTTTACGATCGAACGCCCCATTAATGATTACCTGCATTGTCACGAATCCCTAATAACTATGTGAACGGAAGATACGTCCTTTGTTTTATAACAGCGAGGTCGCCGTTTTAAACCAATTATCCGAGAAGCGGCTTATCAAGATAATCTAGTTTATATTAAATTAACCTACATAAAAGTTAATTATCCTGTAAAAATTATTTACCCTGTGTAGATGTAGTCTCTAGATTGAAATGTTATGTCGGGCAATTTATTAAAGATTTTAATGAAATCTTATTATTCTGCATTATTTCTTTGTTTGTTGTTCACCATTTTCCCATAAAATTATGACCAGTTTCAATCACGCAATGCGAAATATGTACGAGAATGGTGTCCCCATCGCATAATTCTAATTGGCTAATACATCTTCATACTATAATTATGATACTATTGATGCTGCAAGTTCTGAGTATCCTTATTTGTTTTAATTTATCACTGTTTCAATTTTTAAATAAAATCTGGATCATTAAAAATTTCTAATAGAATCTGCTCAATAAATTATGACACCACACCTACTTTATTAAGCAACACCACAAGGGAGTTTTTATTAAGGAAAAAAAATGCCACACAACAAAACGACAAGGAAAACTAGTTGCAAAGTGCGATACAAACAAAGAGATCTTTGGTTTCACGAGGAATACAAAAAAAAGGCGATGGGGACGTAAAAAATAAGCGGTTATGAAAGTGAGTCGTCGAGGGCAAGCGCGTAATGGAACCGGGAGTAGTGAAATTGAGACGGGAGGGTTGCGGTCGGGAACCCCGACATCTCCGAGCTCTGGTGATACCAGTTCGTTACAATCGCACGGTGAAGCCTTGGACCATGAGCTGTTAAGTCATTAATAGTGCCGTTCGTACTTGTAGATAGGTTTATCGATATCGCTCCATAGTTTTAGTTCGATATTTCAAGAAATTTACTAACTTAATATAAATACATAATAATAAAAAGCAATTATAAGCTAATAGTTAGAGTGAGTTTTAGCAAGAATTAATTAATTAACTAAATACACATTCATTGTACAATAATCAGTAAATATATCCACATAAAAAAGCAGAAAAGTATCTGCATAAAAAAGTAGAATATATAAAAGAAAACAATCTTAAGACTTTTTGACCACTAAAACATTATCACGTATCCCATTACTCTGAACAGAACTTGCAGCATTATACAGAGTCGTTTGGTGCGCCATTAAGTTATTTAACCGCTACTTATATCTCATATGCACGGTAAGGCTTTCTAACATCCAATAGAGGTAAACATCCGGCCATCTCTCCGTTGGAGGACTGCTTCAAATCAAATATAGACAAATCGCCCATTCCTAACATTGATTTAGTATGTGATCTCGTTGATGTCTTTTACTTGCGTAATGTGAAAAAGTTGCGTAAAGTAAAAACGGACTGATACAGTAAAATATATATAATTACGGTGATAACCATATAATTGAACGTCTCTTGAATTGATTGAATAAATAGTTCTTTTCTTAACTATAAAAAAGAAAAACATCCATTGATTATGTTTGTTTTCGTGAAAAGTGAATAAATCTAAGTTGACCAAAAACAATCGCATGTATGCATGGCGTGCCTGGGAGCTCTTGCCACCGAGTATCGTCGTCGATGCGAGGTATTACTGTAAGCACGGCGGTAATCGACTATTTTCGATAGCTGGGGGCGGTAGGAACCGCCCTGGTACATTATAGGTTGTGAGCATATACCGTTTATCGGACATAACTGCGAGATAATTATTGCACATGAAAGTCGGACGATAAAAAAAATATTCGTGTCGACGATCGGAATGCGAACTTGTGGCAAAATACTGACTCTTAGATAAAAAATAAAACATTTATACCGCGTAGATTATGGTTTTTCAAAATTATTAAATCTGGATGGCAAATCCACAAAATAAACGTTACATTTATTACTATTATTTGGGTCCTCTCAGTTTGATTACATTAGTTACAATAGAAAATTTACTAACCTCGATAAATATTTCTACCAAGACTTGAAAAAACATTAAACTATTAATCCTTAACTACCTTTATGTAGATATTCTAGCTTATTCTCATTGAAAATTTTAAATTAATTTAACGCTGTGGTGGAATAGAGGTGGTCTCTTCGGAGCGATCGCGGGTTCGTCTCCTCAGTTCTCGGTCAGCTAAATGATCGGGTCGACTTACCTTAACTGTCTGATTCTTAAGGGGCTTGTCCGGGTCGTGGATGTACTCCAGCGTGATGCCGTAGAACTGGCCCTTGTTGATGTAGGTGATGCGGTCGTCTTCGCGCCGCTGTGAGCTGCTGCTTGCCGTCTCGAGGTGGTACTTGAATCCGTACGGCGAGAACCTGCGGAAACCGGCACGAATAACTCAACCGCTAACACGACATCCATTTCGATAACAACGGGTAGCCGCGATAGCGCGCTCGCGCAACGCCTCACGCGCACACGGGGTCGAGATAAATCTCAAAAGTTGCACATTACAGAAGAATGGCAGCCGGTAAGCCGCCGCAGTGGCCATTCGTTGGAATATAAAACGGACGACGTGAGCTGGTTTGAGCGAGAGGCATTCAGAAAAAGTGCGATTTCTTCCCCGCGATACATATCAACGGGTACGCGTTCGCGACAATAAAGCTTCCATGAAGTGAAGCAATAAAAGCGGGCAAAAAGTGGAAATCTTAATTGTGCGGCTGGCCGGGCTCGGCGGCGCGTTCGTTGCATAAAGGTGCGGCGGGCCAGTTCGCGGCGCGTGGTGGAAAAGCGCGTTTTCTCGCGATTTCCTGCGCGTGGGACCGGCGGAAGGAAAACCCCGCTTATTAGAGGGATCGCGTGCCGCCGCTCGTTAGGCGCCCGCGAGCCTCTCGCCGTCGCGGGCCCACGCGACAAGGAGCACGCGCACCGAGAGAATTGCAATAGGTAAAGACGACGACATTATTGCTACTTGTGTAACTAGGTAAAAAGCTAAATAGCGCCTAATCCGCTAATAAATCTCGCCGCGGTATGCAGATAGCAAGCGGTCGTTCGGCTCCGCTCTCTTCTTACGGTTAAACCATTATTTAAAGCTTATTGAAAACAATTTGGTAAACAATCCCGCTGATGTTTGCGATTTAAACCGAGCCTCGGCAGATAAAGGCCTTGTAATGCAAACTCGGACCGACATTGACGGATCGGTCGCTGCAGTACTCGCCTATCTGATTCTCTCTAAGTTATTCCAAACGCAATTTCCATTTGTGACGTAGACAGCCATTGTTATTTCGGCTGTTACTATTCTCTGTTTACATACCGCTTGATTGATTATCCACATGCAATAAATCAATTACTTTGTATTAATCTGAAATACATCTAAACGAACATTGAATGAAAGCGAGCGGTTTCCGGAGCTTTGTTAAAAAATTTAATGAAGTTAACAAGACGTTTTAAAATTGCCACCTGGACGTTATAAGTAACAAACTTAATTCTTCGTATTCGATAATAAATAAAGCATAGTTTTCGAATGAGCTTCATTACAAATTTCAGCAACGCAGCGACAGAAAAAAGACACTTCCTGCGTGAAGGCGAGGGTCTTTCATGAATAAATCAATCGGCGTGGCGCGGAAATTGATGAGGGCACAAAAAGCCCTCGGAATGCGGCGACAACAAAGTGCTCGCAATAAAAACGTTCGCCGCGATAAGAAACGGCGTCCCGCGGAGCGCGAGCGATCCTGCGCCAAATTAGATGCGCATAAACAATCCACGACGGACATGCTCCTGAACCAACAACCGAACCCCTAACAACCCCATTACAAACATCAGAACCGATAAAAACCAACGCCCAAACTTACCACCGTGATAATTATATCGACGTTGACTCCACCGAGCGCGATAAGCGCAGGATATTGGAGCGCATTTAAAACCATAATAAGAATTACGATATCGAACGCATTTCGATTAATTAACTAATTATGTTTAGCTTTTTTTTCCTCCTTTTAGATTTTACTACTTTGACGGCGTAGAGCTGACAGCGTATTAATTTAATTGCACGTCTTTATTGCCGCTCCGAATAAAATTTATACAGTCTATTTTAATTAGGCTCTGTGCATTAACGAATACTTTCACAAAAAAAATCGGTCCGTCGGGAGCAGCTTCTGTGGCGGTGAGATAACGGGCGATGAATGTAAATTGGGAGAAGGATACCGTTATATGCGAATTGCAGTCAGCCTCGTCTCTGCCCTATCGATGCTTGATGGAAATTGAAGGACCATTGTATGCCCCGAGACGAGACATATGTCCCGGCTGACACAATGCTGTGAATCGTAGCCACGCATCTCCACAGGCTCCAAATCGAGCTATATCTCGGGGTCATTAATTCGGTCCCATTTTCTTTATCGGCGCGCTACACATATAAATTCGAATGGGGAAATGAGCACTCGACTAAAACGATTTGATACCGTGATCGATAGTTAATCATCGTGCATTTAAATAGATATAGGAAAAAATAAATTATTAGTTGGTCGAATGCCGAAAAAAAAATTGTTACGGAGGAATCACGGCAGGCGGTTGTCGGGTTAATGAGAACGCTTAACAGCGTAATGGCGGCGCGTTGATTGCCGGGTGTGCTCTGACAAGCGAAGCACGCAGGTTACAAACGCTGCTTCGTGGTGTTACAGGAAAATTATATTTCACTCATATTCTAATATATTCACATTATACATTAACCATTGCCATCGTTAAACATTGTATAAAAGATTGAATATGAGACCGACACATGAGAACATTTCTGTTCGATTCGTTACAAACGCATATAGTATTTGTATTAGACAGAGAAGTTTGATGACTTCCTATCGAAAGTTAAATACCTTAACCAAAACTACTAAAGCTGTAAAATAAATAATGTTAAGCTATTAAACAAATAATAACGATTCGCTGTAGATCGTTAAAATCAAACGCGTTACGCCGGAGAATTCATGTGATAACTTTATTAGCCTTGTGGCTACATTTCAAAAGTGATTTAGGAATACCATTACCCCGTATTAGAGGCCTTTTTGTTGTGATAACCACATGAGCATACACTGGCTGATTAAGCCACCACTTTGAGGTAGCTGATTCCCGTGTTGAACATTGGGCGTGCAAACAAACGGCTGCATTGGGCCATCGAGTCAGCCGGCCAAACCCGGGCCGGCTACTTAACTGGGCGGTAAGTAATAGTTCAAACATTGGTTAGGACGTTGAAATACCTCCGTTGCTAAGACGCTGGTAATGGATTGGGGAACGAACGGGCGTCATCCAAAGAAATTTAGAGGTTGGAGGCTACCATGTTATTTGGGCCAAATGCAAGCAAGTAATTATCGAGATAATAATGCTAATGCACTTATCATGTTGACGACTGCTTCCGTTGCTTCGGCCGCGGCCGCCTGTTTAACGATTTGTTCGAGTGATCCCGGTATTCAATTTATAAGTGTATTTGGCATTTATAAAAGTTAATGTTTGGAATCAATACCCGTTTTTATGTTTTAATATTAACATGTACATTTGCATTTCGATTTTCTTTGTCAAAATGATAAATATGTTATGAACAGAATGTTGTTAGATGTTGGATGAGGAATTTGAATGCTTGAGTAGTTTATGCAGTAGTAAGGGACTCGCTTGGCAATAGATCACCTCTATCAATGGAGACGCTTATTAACGTTGAGAAAGCCAAGTTATTTTCCAGTCCTGCACATTTGTTGTTATATCAAAATTCACACTTACCTTTATTTAACTTCATTCCGATGTATAAGCAGCGTGAAAAGAAAATAATCATCAACGTATTGACTAAATAAACGCTCATTTGTATAAAAATTTAACTAGTGGAATTTTCTATCAGTGTTTCATAATCATTATTTATAAGTGTCCATGTTCTATCTAGATAAGGAATGTGTACGAAAATTCTCATGTTATGACGCTACACAATTATAGAATTTGAATGATAAGTTAATTTATAACAATCCGAAAATACAGAAATTAAGTTCTTAAGAACACATAACAATGTTGATAATTTATTACTTACCTCTTGTAAATATCTTAAAATGGGTAAGTACATGTAATTTACACATATTAAATACTACTTAATAAAACATAGTTTCTCAAGACTTTAGTAAACATCATAAATTATGCACAGAAATAAAAATAATATCGTCATTTAATGTTTTAACCTATTTCTAAGCTCGTAAAAACGTTTAAATATACAAACAAGAATGTCCGAGAACAATACCAACAAATATTCTAATGATGAACGTGAAAATAACCCGTAATCGATGACTTGTGGTTTTGACTAAATCATTAAAATTTTGATGATTACAAAAAAAATATCTGTATTAGCAACTAAACTTCCTGAACGCCTTTACTCCAGAGAGGTACTGACAGCTCAGAAGCTCTTTGTTACACAGTCTCACATAGACTATTAAATGTTGCTTTTATAATATAATTGAAATTCTTCTCTTTTAACAGCTTCTTCTATAATAATGGATGGTTAGTATTAGAATAATTTGTGTTTTGCTATAGCTCAATTACCGTAGAGCATAGCAATATAAAATTGACACTTTTGTAGTGACGCATTTCATTATCAAGCGCTACAAATTAGCACCCACAACCGTTACTTTCGCTGTAATTGCAATACAATAGCATCTCGGTGTTTTAATAGATAAAAATGCGTTTATAGCGTCTGTAGTATTGTCAATGGTCGGGTCTATAAAAACGAAAAATAATGAAAAAAGAAATTTCGAGACTAATTTTCAGACTAATTTAGGAAGTTTGTTAAAGAAAGTATTGGATAGTCTCCAGGAATATTTTCATACCCCCATTAAAAAAACTAATCATATTTGCGAAATTCTGGCTTGCTGGAAGCAAGTTTAATTTTATAAATGATTTCTCGTCCATAGGTCAATAAGTGAGTAACAATATAAACAAATAACACAACAGGAACATTACGATTTAGAGAGCTCTGGTTTTAAAAAGTAGTATACGTGAAACATTCTCTGTTTGTCCAACTAAGTCTTAGTGGCCAATGCAGATAAATTGCGAAGCACTCTTAATTTATACAATTTTAAAATGCTTCTGGGGCAACTGTGCCTGTAGCCCCAATATAAATTTCAATTTAACATTAGCTAATAACGACTTTAATTTCAAGCATACGTTATAGGTATGTACTAGTGGTATTGTATAACACAACACTTAATTTAAAATACACAATTAATAGTAAATATTATATTTATAATAATCCTTCAATATCCATCTTATAAATTTGATTAATGTGGAATGAAATATTTAAAATGTTATATAACCCAGAAATAACGCATAACACCGTAGCGTTTACCTAATTAACACATCAGACTGATTATTATGAACGCCGGTGTTTTAATTAAAACGCAACGTTATAATTGCTACTAAATTCATTGAATTGTAACGTTTCTTACACATGGTATGTACAACTGATGATTTCTTTAATGCAAACAGTATCTAAGGATAAAAGTCTACCGCACATCGTAACAAGTTAAACTGCCGAGTTATTAATATATGTAAAGAAAATCACTACGTAGTTTCGTCGTTCTTTTTCTTTATGGATTTATTGTCTACAGATGTCATGTCAATGACATTGATGAAAATTTTAAATGAATTAAGTTAGCTTATGTCATTTTAGAAAAAGTGCAAGAGTAAATAGTTTCCTGTATAATAAAAAGGGACTACATAAACTAAAGTAGAAGAAAAGGCTTTAAATGTTGTTTTTTAATAGTAATGTGCTTTAATGAAATAAAGACGAAATTGCGTTTTCTGAAATAACAAATTTTCTTTTATTGACAACATAATTAAATACAAAGTTTTGACAATTTGCATATTCTAACAAAGTAACTTACCTGAAATAACAAAAAACAACATTTAAAGCCTTTACTTCCACTTTAGTTTATGTAGTCCCTTTTTATTATACAGGAAACTATTTACTCTTGCACTTTTTCTAAAATGACATAAGCTAACTTAATTCATTTAAAATTTTCATCAATGTCATTGACATGACATCTGTAGACAATAAATCCATAAAGAAAAAGAACGACGAAACTACGTAGTGATTTTCTTTACATATATTTTTAATGGGCTTAACCTTATACTGTTTACGTAGGGACTGCGGTGGTTCGGTTCCATCAAAATCACTGTGATTCAGTGATATTTAATATGTTCTTCAAATGTTAGTTAATATTTAATCCATAAAGCAGAATAGTAATTTGATCCAATGCAACGCGTTGCGTGTTCGATTTTTGCACGGTACCAACTGTAAAATGTGGGTGCTTAGCGATTTATGTAAGCAAAACCATAAATCAAAGAAAACTAACATCCTTTTCGTCAAAAAGGGCTTCATATTGTCCTGATAGTCAAGAAAATAGCGCCACTTCTTTCCTTCTTTCCACTTTCATTTATATGAATCCCATCTCAGAATATATCCGAAATTACATATTTTATTATATAGACTTATAAATCGACTTACAATTCCATAAAACATCCTTAACAATATTTCTCTTTAAGTAACCTGCTAGTTATTGAACATGATCCATAGTTCGACGTACGGTGATTTTCCTAGAAAGGGCCGCCATATCGTAGACAGTCGGTCGAGAGGTGCAAAGTGGTCAGTCAATAAGCTCGTCCGAGTCGCGAGTTCTTTCCTTCTATTTTCACTAACCCCGACAAGTATAGGAGGACGGTAATCAAATTATTTTAAGTGTTTACTATAGACATTTACAGACGCGGTGTGAATTGTTTTGATGAACAGTTATATCGACTATTTGTCACAGTTGTATAAAATGTTTTCGATATAATTATTATATTTTAAAACTTGTCTTTTAAAACAGACGTATGAAATAAAGAAGGCAAGCAATAACACTAACTTGCTTATATAGGATGGGACTATTATACAAATTTAAATGAGGTTCGTGTTTTGACGGAGGTTACCAAATTTTATATACATTCAAATTATGAACGTTAAAACATAATGAACCTTTTTTGCACAATTTAATCCTAACATAACTTTAGTGTAATTGCATTAAATATCTTTAAAATATTCATAGATTGAAAATAAAATTAAGAACGGCTTTTGAAACGTACATTATTATAATTTGCTATTGCCTGTATTTTTCTTAACGCCATGCGTAATTTAAGTCCCTACATTACTTCTTACTACGGCCGTGTGTACAGCGGCCCCTGTCATTAATATGCGTGGAAATAACACTGTATATTTATGGCAAAACAGGTAGATTCTTTAAGTACATTTACTCGAATGAATAATGGTAAGGCTTCGTTAATAAGATACTTGAATCAGATCGTACTCAGTAATGAAAGGTGCAATAATGAATCTAAATTAAATAAGTAATTACAAGACCTTATATAAATACGATGATGAATCTCTCGAGACCTTTTATTAAAAACAAACATTACTGTGAAATTCAAGTAAGTAATAAAAGTACACAGTTTTTAAATCCTTAAATTATATGCATGAAACAATGTAATGATGATTTCAAAAATGTTCTGGCGTACCAAACATATTTAATAAATTACGATAAAAAATGTCGAAATCTCACCGAAATGTATCACCTAAAATGCGCGTAAAACCATCGCAAGCCCCGCGATCAATTACGTCAACATATGTAACTCTCCGAACCGTACCGCGTCCAAATTAGCTCGGAATTTATGCGGGAATGCGCTAGAAGAATGCTGATGAAATAATCAAACCAAAGGGGGCGTCGGGCGCAGTGTAAAGTCGTACTCACAGTTTGGCGATTTGTATCTTGTCGGCGTCGTTTTGCCGGCCAAAGTCGTGCCAAGGGCGCGTGCGGGGTGCCTGCGCGGGCGAGTGGTGCGCCGATGGGGTGCCGCGCCCGTCCTCGCCCACGCCCGGTTGCTGGCAGATTACGGTGTACTCGAACGACTGTGTGGGCATCAATTCTCCAATTAAACCACCATTATGTACCGTTTACTCGTTCATGCCGTAAACTGAGGCGTTCTCGACGCCCGTTCGGCTTCCTGCGGTCTGAGATCGCGATTAAATTTGCAACATACGGTAAACTAAAAACTCATTCATAGAGAACACATTTTTGTAATAAATTCGTTGATATGAAAAATTAAGTACTGACAGCACATACGCAAAAAAAATCGTTATTGTGCGTGCATTTCAAGGAGTCTATGGCAAGAAAATTATTTCTGTGATTTTTTGATTCTGTTTTTTTTATGATTCGTGAAAACAATTTACTATCCATTTTTTCTGAAAATCTTTTGTTCTATACATAGTAATTTACAAAAGTCCTTAACTAATAGATTACGACTTATAGTTAGTTACATTCGAAACCAATTAGTCTGGTTAGAATGATGAATTATAGTTTAAACTAATGAGATTTGGAATGATTAATAATTTCTAGGAATTTACATTACTATCTGGGTTGTCAAATACGTAATTTTATATATCAACATTTTAATAAAATCTCAGGGCTTACTCGAACGCTTTCGTGACAAATTTTCATTAAAGTTTTTTTTTTATTTCGAGTCGAGCAGCGAGACATTAGCCCGATACCAGTATGGCAGGTTGGAGGCCGTACCACACGTGTGTTTTTTTTTCCACAGATGATTAATTTCAATCATTCACAGTAGTTTCCATCCCTGCCCTCTGAATTGCGTTAGAGATAACCTCAAAGGTTAATATGTACTACTTATCTGATAGAACAGTATATGTATGTGGGAAGTAGCCGGCTGTTTTAAGAGTTACCATGAAGCTTATTTGATAAATGTATTTAGAGTTATGTTTAACAATAATATTCGCTTTTTAGAGTCCGTTTGAAGGTTTGATAAATAATTCAAGTAATTAAATGACAGTTTTAAATTGGCTTGCCGTTTGATTGAGTCCTTAATCATTGCGTGCATACTTAAGTTGCGGGCGTTACAATGTAACGGTCCTTTACTGTGTCGGAATGTAAGTTGAACAATAAAATGTATGGAATAATTTGTGTTAGAATTTATGTATAATTTTTTACGATTCCGTTTTATAAAATACTAGCGACCCCTCCTGGCTTTACACGGGTGCAATGTGAATATAAAACTTCCTCTTGAATCACTCTATCTGTTGCTACAAACTGCATTAAAATCCGTTATGTAGTGTAAAGATCTAAGCATACAAACAACAGGAGCGACTTTATTTTAACTATGAAAGATATAAATGTGTTCTAGTTACACACATCACCTATTTCTTGTGTTGGTACTTAGTTGGTATTAGGGTTAATGTTATATTAAAAAAACTAAAAAGTTATTTCTCGTAAGTTATACATATATAGTGGGAATAATAATTAATAGCAAAATTTAATTATATAACTTACAGAAATCAGAACAATCTATAATTGTAATAACATATATGTCTATATACACATGTTCTTATTGGAAGTGATACCGGACTAACAGGAAGGAATAAAATACTTGTTTTTGTGAACTTAAGGAACTGAACCGTTGGTACTTGATATGTTTGTTGTTTTGATAAATTAGTATCAAATTAATAAAAAACGAAAAACAGGCATTGTCAAAACATTTTTTATGACTAAGCCGGCCATAGATTAAATTTAACTAGCACGTAATTTATGGTAATAGGTCTAATTAAAATGTTAGTATAATTACGTCATCATTTCCTAGTACTGAGAATTGACCAACAATGTCATCGATAAAATTAATGACCTTTATGAAATTACGGTTATTTAGAATAGCATATAAGATATAAACTATTTTTAATTGGTTAAGAACTTCACTAGTTAACATTGATCTAAGTGGAATTTAAAACAAAATTCTTTTGATACGACTTATTATAACATGTATATTGTATACAATTTATGACATCATTTGAATTTAATTAATGCGTTAAATCTGTTTACGTCAATATTATGCGAGAATTGTCTTTATACTTGTAGAACAAAAGATAAATGCTTAAGCCAGATAGTATTGTAAGTAGGTAGAGCTCGTGAGAGCCACACCTTGGAAGTGCAAGTAATTCAATAACACTTGGCTACCGGCCCGATTATAGTCGTGCCAATTTGTTATTTTAATATGATACCTCAGAAATATGTAGTAAAATGGAAGGGGCTTTTAAATATGTCTCGCAGAATGCCACAATGTCGTGACTTTATAACTAATGTCAATGGAGATGGAATAAATTGGATGAATGATGATGAATAACAATTCAACCGATATTAAAAAACAAAAACCATACTGCGCGATTCTCTTAACGCTTCCTTAAGCGCAGTAAATATTACATTCGTAATGGTTGAATGAACAAATCAACTGTAATTGCTCGACATCTCAGTTTCGATGATGTACGCAACATCTTTATTAATGTAACTTCTCTAATACAATATCTTTAGGTATGTGCATTGAATATTCCATTGATAGTGGTGATAATCACATTTTAAGGAACTATATTTTTATTGTTAGTATTTTATTATCTTCAACTACGTTTTTTTTTGTAATAAGTAACTATTCCAATTAAATCCACCAAACAACGAAATAATTTGTGTCATGCTATTCAGTACATTTTAACGTTTATTGAAAAATAATTAGTTATGTCGCTTAAGTCTACAATAAAATAAAACTGAATGAAAATGCGCGAGGGAGGGGCTTCTGAAGTAGTCGTCAGTCTTATCAACAAGTGTGTCAAAGACTTGTTTGCGAAATGTTTCTACTGATAAGTATGATCGTTTCATAAGTAAACTAGACTATAGAAGGTGCATAATCAAGTTTACTTTTCTAAGTACGTTATGCCCATTCACACGTTTAAAAACGTTTAAAATAAGAATATCTTAAAAATGATAAAAAAAATAAAATGGAAATGTCCGCAATAAGCAATTGTAAGCATGTATAGTGTATATGTGTGTTTGTGTTAATGTGAGAAGCCCGTCCGCCCGCGCCCCAGTCACACGTAGCACCGACCTGCTGAACGGCGGTGTGGTCCCGGGGCGTAACAGCATCAGCACCAATGCCACTGTCTGGTGACGGCAAGTCCACAGTGAGCCCAGCAGCCGCTATCACGCTTTTGCTATGGTACCGAGGCGCGGCGTATCGCTCCCCAAACGTTGAGCCAGAGGCCGGCTCCGCGTCAGCGTACGGGGGGGCACTTCGCTGCTGGTAGCCATCTCCCACAAAATACTCTCGATAGTATGGCTCCCCGGTGAAGGTTGCCGGTTGGCGGGAATATTGGTCGCCATAGGGCGTCGGACTAGGGGTGCCTGGCGGCGCGAACATCTGCGCTGCGTACATTGCCGCGTCCGGCAGGAGCGAGCCGGCCGAGGAGGCCCGCGACGGCACCGGCGACGGCGACGCCGCTTCGCCGGGCTCGCCGACCGCCACCTGCGGACACACGCGCCGGTTACACGCGCTCTCCCACGACAACTGTCCGCTCCGCAACGTTGACGCGTACATGCCGCGTCCTTGCACAGTTCACAGCTTCACGTACACTAGAATCGTTCGCGAACACGTTCACAGGGCAAACGGGCAGAATCCCATGGGGGCCGCGAGGTGGTCGCGGTACGAGTGCGAGGCGCACTGGGCGGGCAGCGCTGGCCGGCCGTTCGGGGGGCGCGGGCGGGCGCGGCTAGTGCGGCACGAGCGGTGTGCTCGGCGCATCGTATGCTAACCGCGATAAATAATACATGAGTGACCGGTAGGGGGGGTGTGTGAGTGCGTGCGCGCGCGACGGCGGCGTGCGGACGTGTGACGCACCTTGTGTCGCGGCGGCTTGAGCGCGTGCGGCTGGGGCTCGTCGGCCACCTTGCGGCTGAGGTCCTCGGGCTCGCGCTTCACGCTCCCCGCGTGGAGCAGGACCGAGAGCTCGCCCAGCTCCGCCCCGTGCGCGCCATTGGCCGCCTTCAGCGCCCCGCCGGCCCTGCGGAGGGGAGGCAAGCGTGATTGGCGACGCTGCCGACGGTGCGTGCGCGCCGCTATTCCTCACAACGACCTCGGCGCGCGCGCGCAAACTCCTCATACTGTCGTACTCGCACTACGCGACACATACATTGTCACACATATTCTCGTTACATGTTTTCTAACAGTGCTACGACAAATGGCACAGTTTGTTCATATTAGTTAACCATATAAAAATATTAATATAAAAAAATATACAACTGACTAAAATAAATTTATATTCATTAAAAATGAATCAAAAACATAGTATATTTATTCTATGTAGTTTTTTTATTGAAAGCATGTCATAAAATTTTCAAAATGTATGTGTACTTTTACGAATTTCTAATTAAAGAAGTGAAATGGACTAGTGAATCCCAAAAGTAAATTCGAGGTAACAAGTCATCTTCCCATATTCAGAACAAAAATACTCCTCGCCATATAAGAGTGGATTTATTACAACCTCGCAACGTAAGGTGTCGATGTTGCCAACAACCGGTACAATTGAAGGGGGAATACAAAGTAACACGCTCAAGAAATATTGACACCACATCCATAATCTCATCAATTATTTATTGACTTATTCATTTGTAACCAACTACTGGGCCTGACGACCTTAGTAGCTGTACTGATAAAAGATCGCGATTTTAAATTTATTAACGCGAAATTAAATATTTCGTACAGTTCTCTTATTTTAACTTTCCGAAATACGTATGTTAATACAACATAAACGTGGTTAATCATCCAACAGGCCATTACCATGTTAAATGCTTAACTTATGCAAATTCTGATAAGTTTTCTTAAGGGAAAACCATTGATTAATATGTAAAGTAGTGTTGATAAACGGGAATTAAAAGTAAATATTTGTTAGGAGAGAATACGAATGAATCTAAATATTACAAAAAAGGATCTGAAACTAAATAGAAACGCCACACCACTTTTATTACAATATTTCTAATAGAAATTTAAATTGTTTATAGTGCTAATCTTTGCACTTAAGATTGAACATTAAAATATGTAGAAAAAGTGCGAAAAGATTGTCGCCGCTGTGGGAATCGAACCCACGTCTTCGGCATTCGCGGCCTGACGCTCTAGCCACTGAGCTAAACGGCTGATTACCACACCGACGAAAATCTTAACGCATTCTTCCACATTATTAAGATCTTTTCGCACTTTTTCTACATATTTTAATATTTCTAATATTTAAACTTTTCAATGTGTTCTAAAAATTTATTTTCATCAAATTTATTTTTTAAGTAAATGACAGGATAGTCATTATGAAAACCTCACAACATACACACACACCCACAAACACGCATACATATACCTTGAAATTAATGAGGGATTTTATGTATGTAAATCATTTATAGATTATTTATTAAATCAAAAAAAATCTACTTTATTTCATTAACCATGGGAACTAAGTAAGCGAGCATTTTAATATAAAGTATATTTTTTTCCTTCTTACCTACTTATGTAAAGTTCGTGTGCTAAAGAAAATCTGTATTTTCCATCTAGATTTTTTCTAAAAATTAAGTTGTTATTATAAAATAAAATCTTAATATTTTTCGATAATTTTAGGGTATGTATCAATTGTCATTACAAGATTAAAAAAAATTCCATATATGTGTTATTTATTTATCTTACTGAAATTATGTTTAAAAATTTCTGACGTTTCTTAGATTGATGACCTTGCGAAGCCGGGGCGAGACAACTAGACTATTAGACATTGATGACAGCTTTATTCCCGATACTAATGCAAAATATAGCATAAAATGCTATCAAATTTCAACAAAGAAATATACGAAAAAAGCATCGTAAGAAGACCTAAAGACACCAAAGCCCGTTTCATCGCTTCACAGTCAATTATTTAACAGCTGTACCGAAAACGAAATCTTCGAGGTAATTGCACTTTGACTTGAAGTGTATGAGTAAATTAAAAAAAACAGAAACTAATATAATAATTTATCATTGCTCGTTAATCAAGTTAGAACTGTAGACGTTAAATGTTAATCAACAATGGAGTTTTCAATTTCTACTAGTTAGATTTTAGAGTTCAATAACCTACGTCGTTCCTCGTAAAATACCGATGCTATCATTAACCCGATTACTAACTGCATATAGCAGAGTATCAAACGTATTACGAGATCATTCAACCATTGCCTTGGAATAATACGAAACCTGTACATTTCAAATCTCTTTGTGTCATTACTTATCATCTGTTACGCCAGCTCATGAGTAAAACATTAATTTTTTAAAACCTATTTACTTATTATCAAAGGTTATTTTTTTAATGCTGCTCGTGTCTACATATCAATTGTTTACACCTATACTTTAGATTACTGAGCTGCTTATGTGCGAAAATTGTAGTTTTCACGCAGGAGTTGCATAATTTAATAACTCCCTCCCCCCTCTATCATCAGAGAACTAAAATCTCACAAAAACACAATACTTTTATTGTTAATATTCTCCTTGTTCAATGATCTTGCCATCTTCCTTTCGTTTAACGAAGGATTGGAGTAATTTGCAAGCCGCAGTTCTCCCATCTGAATATAATGTTAGTTTCTTCAACGTCAATAACCTTTTACTTGGCTAGTGCATTTAACTTCTGTCTTAGACGCATCAATACTTATCATGAGATTATGTGTGAGTTGGTCAGTGTTAATATAAAAAAATTCTTTTTTTTATGTGAAAAGTTGCCAAGCGAGCAGGCGGTTCACCTGATGTTAAGTGAATACCGCCGCCCATGGACATCTGCTACACCCGAGGGTTGCAGATGCGTTGGACAACCTTTTGAAAATTGGGCTCCGGCCACCTCACTCACCAGACGAAACGCGAAAGTAGTATAGTTCCACTTTACGCCGGTCTTTTGTGATGTCGTGGTACTTACCCGGACGAGCCTGCCCATTCGTGCAACAGACGAGGCTGCTGCGTGGCTGTACCACCGTAAGAAAAGTATGTATGAATAGTTGGATAAAAGTCCTTAAACTGCAAAATGATAAAACTGTTTTATTATTCAACAAATCCTCTTTGTATATATTATTTCAATGCATATTTCTAGATGTGGCATATACAATTCCAATAAAGCATGCTAGTAAGCTATTTGAATTGCCACATTAGCTATATTTACATTTTTCTACGCAGCGCTGACATGTTTTACAAAAAAGAAGAAAGTGAAGGCAAAAATGAACATTTTAAATAATTACACACGGCGCATAGACAGTGATGTTAAATTACTTTGACTCGTTTGCATGCGAGTGAGCGGAGCCACCTCCGCGAGTGGCGCGGGGCGCGGCTTTCGTCGGCCGGTGTCGGTGCGGGCCGATTTATGATAATTGAAGACATGTTTCATTGGCGCACAGATGTTTATTTTAGATAAGGGACTTGGTTGGCACCGAAATGGCCGGGACGCGCGACCTCCCGCGAGCCGCGGGCCCGATCGCGACGCTCCGTTTACACGTCACGATTTATGCATGCGATTTGTAAGTGGAACCCGACGAGTGTGAAATCGCGGGTACGATAAGATAATGTTCGTTTTAATTCCCTCTTAGTGCTTTAATTTTTCGGAGCGCATCGGCCGCATATCGGAACGTTCCGTTTGCATAACGGATTTTTTTCGACGCACACGAACGGCCCGTGTTATGACACCGTGAAGGGTTTACTGCCGATGTTTTTTTTGTTGAAGCATGCAAATTGAGTTTGCGTTAATCCTGCCACGGTGTGCCGGAGGCGAAGTGAAGCAAAAATCGTTATTCATTCGTTCAGGGCACGGCTGCTTACATATCGTTTATTGTTTGTGGCGGTAAAAACGAGTCACAAAGAGCGTCGCGTTGACAGCGGAGTTGGCGATTCAGCTGACGTGTTCGCCGATTTTTAGTGTTCCATACCCAAAGAGTAAAATGGAACCCTATTATTAAGACTCCACTGTCTGTGTGTCTGTCTGTCCGTCTTTCACCAGGCTCTCATGAACCGTGATACAGTTAAAATTTTCAAAGATGATGTATTTCTGTTGCCGCTTTAACAACAAAAACTAAAAAATTAATTAAATAAAAAATATTGAAGGGCGCTCCCATACAGCAGACAAGATTCTTTCGCCGGTTTTATAGATTTATTCCGGATTCCCATTCCTATTCGCCATTGACCAGTTTTTAGTGAATATTTTCTGAACAAACTAACAGAAAGAATTAAAAATGAGAAGATTTTCTAATATATCGTTGAAATTAGCAAGATTTATCACAAATTTTTATAATATTTAAATGTTTAAAGTAAACACAAACATCAATGATGGTTAATATACATGGGATAAATATAATGCCTAAATCACTTATTAGAATTAGTCCATATGCAAATACAGATAACTAGAGCAATACGGAGGTCAACGGTGTGTATTGTTATTATAAGATTTTTAAAGAATTAAAAACACGTATCAAAATTATCAGGTGTAATATTCGAAAATGATTATTACGCATTGTCAATCATTCACGTTCCGTGTGACAGAAGGTATGTACATAATTATGATTGATGAGAAAAATAAAGGAAGAATATGATGTTATTCAAAATTATCAAAAAGGTCACAGCAGCTTGTAATGTTATATAATAATAATAATAACATTAGTTTATTTTTATCACTGTATCTAAAATACACTTATCTATAAGTACGTTTTAGATACACAGGAAAGAATAACTATATCCGAATAAAATGGTGTAGTTTATCACTTGATGAATTCATATGATACTTTCGTTTTTTTTATGTGAAAGGTAATGAATGACCTGGCGTTTCAAATGATGCCAAATGATAACCACCTTACAACCACATTGACATTTGCAACGCAGAAGTGTGGTAACATTTCTGCTTCACGCCGGTTTTCTGTGAGGTCGGGGTACATACCCGGGCAGGCCTGCAACATTCGTATCTTGTATCTTGTATTAACTGATGTTTTTGCTTTCAGTCCCGAGACTATTAAAGCTTCATCTGACGCAGGA